ATATATATATATATATATATATATATATATAATCTATATATATATATACCGATAAAATTTATCTATAATTTTTTATCTTTTTAAATTATTAATTGAAATAACATTATAATTTATTTTAAATTAATACTTATAAATTTATTATTTTAATCACCATTATTCATGAAATATAATTTAAAGTAACTATTATTAAAAAAAATGAGCAAAAGTAGCAAAGGAATATTTAATTTTTTTTAACTGCAAAATGATACTATTTAATAGTAATATTCATTAAATAGTATTTAATGTTACTATTTGATATCAAAATGATATTTAATTATCAGAATTATATAATAAATAACATATTAATACTTAATATCAAAATTAATATTTAATTATATATAATTATTAATTAAAATGACATATTATGAATTATTTTAAATTTAACTATCTATTTATAAAATCATCATTCTAATTACTATTGATCGTGAAATATATTTTGAACTAACTAATTTATAAATAAAAAAAATGAACATAACTAATATTATAATACTTAATTACTACCCAATTCAAATAGAATTACTTCCGGCAGAAAATAATTGTGATATGTACAAGTTAAAAAAAAAAACAAAAACAAAAAAAAACAACTAATGTTACTACCTAATATCAAAATTAATATTAATTATCAAAATTGTATAATAAATAGCATCAATATGAGCAATTTATTTTGTCATTAAAATATAATTAGGTTCGTTATATTTTGTTGGACATCTAGGTGTGTTTGGTATATGAAATTATTTTTTTTTAGGATTTGAAGTTGAAAATATTAAATTTTGGTATATGATTTATTTAAATAACTTTTTTTAGGATATTTCTAAAAAAATTAATTTTTATTAATTTTCTTACATAAGCTCCTCATAAAAAATCTAACATTTCTAATTTCAAAAAAAAAAAAGATCTTTCAAAAAAAAAGGTTTTACTTCGTAAAAATATCATACTAATTTTACTTATTTATTTTGTGTAATAAAAAAAATAATTTTTGAACAATATTTAAAAAATTATTAAACACATATACAACAAATCAAATATATTTTAGTTATCCTTAAGAATCAGATATTCAAGAAATATCATTCTGTGATTTTCTTACAAATATTTATAAATTCAATTAATATTTTAGATTTCATTTCATATTTTTTTAAATTTTCTAATATATCAATTATCTTTCATATTAATTTGATTTTCTTTAATTTATTACTCATTTTTTTATATTTTTCTCACTCTATATTAAACTATTAAGGATATGATAGAAAAAATATTTTTTAAGCATATAAGTCGGATCACAGTTATTATAACTTATGCAAACTGTTCAATCAACTAAACATATAGAAATACAAAAATATTTAGCATCCATTTATTAGCGCCAAAAATAAGGGGGGAGGAGAGTCAGTGAAGAAATAACTGAAAAATAAAACTTCTTTCTTCTGGTTGTGTGGAAATTAGTATGCGGAGATATACAAATTTGAGTCTTAACCCTTTTTATTTATCGACAAAATATCAAAGAAAATTAAATGTGAAAAGTGTAAAAATTATTATAAAAAAAAAAAAGATTTTACATAAAATACTAGTGAATCTATAAGTGTACATCAATTTTTCACTGGGAAACGAACACTTTTTTAGTTTAATCAATTAAAATTTTGATTTAGCTGATTAAATCTAAATTTTAATTTTTTTTATATTTCTCTTTTTTATATCTTTCCTACTTTTTAAACCAAACACCTTTATTTTAATTTTGTTTCACTCTTCTTACTTTTTTTAATTTATATATTATTGTTGTATTAAATATTCAACTTTATCATTTATAATAGTATTACATGACTTGAATAAAAATAGAGAATATTTGTGATCTCTATCTATCTATCTATTTATCTATATATATATATATATATATATATATACCATTAATGTTTTATTGACATTATAAAATAATGACAATTAAAATAAAACAATTTTATTTACTTAAACATCAAACAAAATAAAATAAAGAGTAAGAAAATTATATACTATCATTTAATCACAAATCATTATTTACAACATAAATAAATCTTTCATGCTATTTTATACATATTAACTAATTTAACAATTAATTTACCAACCACTTCATTCAATCAATTAATATACCAGTTCTTAACTTACCTCCAGCTAGTTTACACGACTTTTAGGTGATATTTCCTTTAATCGAAACGAGAAAGTTCAATCAATTAAAGAAAAAAAGCTGGAAAGTTCATAAAGGTATTTGGAAGAATATAGTCCTCTGGTCTGATGTGTCTCTCACGGATTTTAAGGGAAGCATTTCTTGAAAAGTTAACGAACAGGCCAATGATTTTGGCTCAAGATATCAGAACGCTGTTTATTATACTTCTATTAAAAGGCTTAGTTCACTTTACATGCAATTCACAGTTTCCCATATCACATTAACATTTGCTGAGTAAAACCATCACAATAAACATTGAACCATCCTCTCTCTAGTCACTACGGAGAAATCCATGATTTTGGAACGTCTGCTATCTATACACGCAGTTTTCTCCCTTATGGATGAATATAATATCCAACTGCCACGCTGATAAGAGCAACCATGCAAACAAACAAAAATGGAAAGCCGGACCGAACTCCTTTCGTATTCATTTTCCTCTTCAACACCTCCTAATAAAAAATGAAAATTTTGATATCAAACAATAGTCAATCACCGAAAAAATATGTATATTGCATTGCTTTAAAGAGAGAGAAGAGATGAAAATTTCAAAAACCTAATGTTGGTACCTAATGCCAATCAGAATCACCATACCATTAATCGGAAAATTAGACTTGTAACATGGAAAACACACACACACATACAAAACCTACCAACTCTTTCTTAAGCAAATCTTTTTCTTGAGTGTTCCTGCGCCTCTCTTCATTCAGCGTCCTGATGGTTACCTCAGCCTGCAAAAATTATAACTACATGTTCATTGCTTCCATCTATGAAGTTTAAAACAAATAAAAAGGTGCAACTTAAGGAACTGCCTCTAGATCTTGACCATAAGCTCGGGATAACATCTTTGTAAACGACACTGACATAGCATAAGCACATTACAACCTTTAGTGCCAACTTATAGAACTAGAATATACAGAAACAAATGCATGTTAACTTGAATGATACTGAAGAAGATGGAGTTTGACAATCGTTCCTCTGTTTTGGCTCATTGAGAACTAGAACAATATGGTACTATGATATTACTATGGCCTTATTTTTATAAAACTAGTAATATGCTTATTCAATCAAATATTAGATATCTTAATAACAAACTTTATGATTATTTTCTCCATTAATTCCCACATAATATAGTGTAATCAATTTCAGATAGTTTGGCAGGAAAATTGAGTGAATTATAACAAAGTGGAACATGGCCTAGCAAACTAAATATAAAAAAGACTGTGACAGGAGGTCAAGTCTAACCTCTCTTAGCTTCGAATCCATTATACTAAGCTTTGACTTCGATTCCTCAGATTCGTTAGTTAAATTCAACTCCACATCACCTTTTGCTGGCTTCATGTCACCAACATTCTCAACTTGTCTTGGGACAATATCCTCATCAGCTCTACCCTCCTTAGTATCCTGTGCTGTTTCCAAACCTTTAACTTCCTCAGAAACCTGATCCTTGAAAATAATAGATGGTAGAGAGAGTTATTATCTATCAAGCAATGGAACAGGACATTATATGCTATTGCCATATTGAACTAAGATTAACATGTTTCAGATTCACCAAAGGGTGGCTGCTATTGGATAGCTGACACACACAAAGTTAACTTGTTTTTCATAGTATACTACAACTACAAGTGTACAATATATTTCCACAAAAAATGGATACGTATCTTCATAATTGAAAAGGAAGCATGGAAGGGGAGGAACTCACTCTACGAGGGGGAGGTATGTTTTCAACTCCACTGGGCACCCTATCTTTTTGCACATTAATTTCGTTGGATGGATCATGCTTCATATCAGCATTTACTGGAAGCAACACCGGAGAAGATGGTGGGCTGATGAGGATTACCCTTAGTTTCTTCTCCTCAATATACTTTCCATTGTCTTTTGCAAACTGTCGAATGAGAAGGAATTTAAAATCATTCAACCTACTCAAAAACAAATAATTTAAAGGAAAAAAAGAAAAAAGAAAAAAAGAGTTGGACAATTGAATTACATCTTTATCCTTCACAACATATCGCAGGCGTCTCAAAACAGGGAGAAAACAGATAAATAATGAACTCTGTTTTATAGACATTCAGAACACTATCTCCACACATTCACCTTTTTTCCATCTCACTGTCTTCATCTTTTTTATCATGACACTAGCTTTCTATTTTCCTTTGAGAGTTCTTGAGACTCCTAATTTCAACCGCATCACATCTATCACTTTTCTTTCCTAATGTCTACGCTCAACATCGAATGGGATTGTCCACCAAACATTTTCCATGAATATTATAAGCTTACCATATCAGACGTAATGTCATCTTCTGTAGTCCCAAACGGGACAACTGTGCTCTGAATCAGAAATTTGTCTTTGCACTGCATATCAGGCGGTGCCGTGCGCTGAGCTTGCATAGTAACTGCATCCACAAGACACATCGCAACAGCCTTTAAAAAGGGTTACTATAAACCATAAACCGCATATGTGAATTTAACCTTTTTTTAAAAAACACAGGTAACGTATACATTGAATTTAAGCTTGAAGAAGAAGATAGCGAGAAGATACCAGTAAAATCAGATTTTTGATTGGGCTTGATGATGCCAATGTTGGGCCTGACGCAATATTTCTTGGGCGACGTCGTTTTTACCTGCGAGTAGAGAGTAGTAAATTAGAGAATATAGATACATTGGCATTTGAGTGATTGTTGAATGTTGATTAGAAAGAAAATGCAGAGCGATTAAGAGTACCTTAAAAGCAATATAGTGATGAGTGGCGTTCCGGAGTTGAACCAAGCATGAACTTTGTTTCTTTAATTCGACTTTGTGGTGTGATGATGATTGGAAATGGAAAGGTAAGGCAATGGTTTAGTTAATTGGAAAAGAAAGAAAGAAGAAAAAAGAGAGAAGAGAGACTTACAGAGAAATCGGAGGTCGGCGGGTTCGATTTGAAGAAGTTCTGTAGTCATGGCTGTTATGTGAAACTGAAGAAGAAAAAGAAGAAGAAAGAAATGAGAGTTATTACATACAACCCTAATTGTTTGAATGGTGAGAAAAGAAAAAGAAAGAATGAACAAGTGTTGTTGTTGAGTTGAGTTGTGAGTTGTGAGTTGTGAGTTGTGACTTGTGACTTGTTTGTTGTGAGTTGTTACTTTGGAATGGGATGGTTGGCGTCGTGTCGTCGGTTACGCCACTGGGCCCTCACTCACACTCTGCGCTTCTACCCATTCTCCTCACTTTCCTTTTCTTATTACCCATCTCTCACCTTTACTACTAATCATTTCTTTCATTATATATCCATATTTGCCAAATATTTTTATTTTTATTTATGATCGTATAACATTTTTTTTAAATATTAAAGACAACATTAATTGTCAATTATTTTAAATGATTACATTACAAATATTAAAATTCATTAGCAAATTTCTCAGGGGGAAAACAACACAATCACACGACTGACACGCTCACATTAGCAAAATCATTTGTTTTTTTAAAAACAAAAACACATTTTCCAGGTATTTCTAATAAATTCCATTTATTAGCATGAAAAATTGTACAGTGACATTAAAAAACTTACCTGGACTTCAGTATTTCTTCTCTTTTTTCTCCCTGACAGAATGGACTGCAATATTTCTACTAAAAGAAGTTTGATTAATTCAAAATCAGTGCAATCAATTCATATCTGTCAAATTAAACAATTCAAATAAATGAATCTACATGTATATGAATCCGAGCAGATGATAGATTAAATTAGAATAATATTACACACTAAGAAGAGTTATTTTGGAGATATGATGATGAAAAATGATCTGAGGAAAGGAACGTTGCGAATTCTCTGTCAAAGTCACGTTGCTACAGTGCAGGCCATCATTTCCCCACCACCACCTTCTTTTCTAACTTTAATACTATTCGTATTTATTTCACTTTTTCATGTAATATTTTAAATATTCATCATATTAAATTACATAATAAGTTTTCTAAATTCTAATTTTTTATTTTTATTATTTTTTTCTTATTTAAATAAAGAAATTTGTCTAGCTCACGGATATTCTATGTTAGAGATAATTCTGTTCAAATTCTATAAAACTACTATTGATGCCAAAATTCTCCCTAACACATTCGAAATGTAAACCAAAATTGTTATCTTGCTATTTAATCATAAATTATGGTATACGATACATTAGTTAAATTTATAATAATTATTTTAGTGGTTTTTTTAATTAATTAACTGCATGAGATATTTTTTATTCATAATTTGATTAAAAAATGTAATTAGATCTTGATTTTCTTGCAATTTTTATAATTAAATCTCTAAAATCAATAAAATAATTATAATTTTTACTTTTGTAATGATTTAAAATCGCCATAAACTAATCATAAAAACTCAATTAAAAAAATTATAAAAGATCAAGAATTTAATTATAAATTTTTTAAGTTTAGTTACCTAACAAAAGATTTTCTGTTTATTTTTAAATTAGTATTTTAAATTGTTTAATTTACAAGATAAAGATATATTTTATATGATTAAAATTTATAATAAATTATATTAATGTTGATTTTCATAATGAACCGGCAGATACGATTAAATTTGTATTTGAATTATTTTTAACTATATAGTTATATTGAAATGTTATCAAAAAAATGTAAATAAAATAAATAAATAATTCTTAACTTAAAACAAACAAAAACTTGACATGGTAAAAACAAGTGAACAACTGAGAAACAGAGTGGAAGGACATTAACTATTATCTTGCTGTGTATAGTTTCTCTTTTCAATAATTTTTTTTTCCTTTAAAATTAAGTGAACACAAAGGTAGAAATGGCATTTAAAAAGTAATCACCCTTTTTTTTTCTATCCTCCTTTTCTTTCGTTGATTGAAGATGGTGGGAACTGATGTAACAACGTAGTAGAAAATCACAAAAATGAATTAAAGAAGATTGATTAAACAAAGCCCGAACCGAAATCATGAACAATAAAGCAGCTAACAAAAAAAAAACTTCTTTATCCTTTCTTTTTGTTTATTCAATTTCATTTGTATACACTATGACAGCTAATCGACTAAATAAAAGCTCACACAAAGATTATTAATTCATTTCTTTTAGTTCAGATTTTAACCACTTTTTTTCCTGCGTCGTCTTTTAAAAAGTAACAATGAGAATCATAGTATCTATCTCCTCATTTTGTTTGATTTCGATTCTCTCAAAAATACCATCATACAAAGTTATTTTTAAAAATGTAATCAAATCATACTTGCTCCAACAAAAGTAGTTTCGCAAGCAACCATAAGTTTCTTTCCTTACCATACTTAGAGGAAGTTAAGGGTATATTTCGTACGATGGAAAAAAAATAAGTCAAAGACTCAAAAATAAAATATAGAGAAATCAATTAAAGAAAATTAGTAAAGAGAGAAATTGGGTCTCATTCTCTATTTGCTTATTTCAACACTATCAAATCACTAAACTTTTCGATTTTTATGTTATATATCTACTTCAACCCTCTACATACAATGAAAATAATATGAACTTGAATTTCCATGAGGATATTTTTGTGAGGATGCCACGTAATTATAGTATTCATGCAATTAAACAATGATTAAGTACAAGCAATTCAAAGAAACAAATTTGTGTGTGTTTGTAAAACTAATTTGGCAATTCAACGCTTATATGATAGCCGAAATTATAAGTTAAAAGTTGAAAATCTAATGATTTATAAGCTAGTCAATTAATTCGATCATGTTTAATAAAATTACTTGATAAATTAAGTGATAAATGAAAAATAATATAAAAAAACGTATTTTGGTTACTTGAGGTAAAAGAAAATTTTAAATTAAAGATTAGATATGTTCTTAGTTTATGAAATTTTGTCAAATTTTATTTTTGTTTCTGACCAAATTTTATTTGATTTTAGTTTCTATAATTTTTTTATGAACAAATTAAAAAAATTTGACGTGAGAAATCAAAATATTAATAGAATAAAACGTTTATTGACTAAAAGTAAAAATCGACAAAAACTCAAAAATTAAAACTAATAAAAAAAATGTTCAAAGACTAAAAAAATATAACAAAAGTTCAAGCCAAAAAGTATATAATCCTTAAATAAAATCACGAGATGAAAATGAAAAAAAAAAAAAAGTTAATATTTTATAGGAACATTTTCATTGAAAATTGCTTATGAATTTTTTAATAATAAAATATTATTTTAATATTACTTTGAGTTGCTTAAAATTATAAAGAGAAGCTTATAAAAGTAATTTTTTTTTTTGGTAAGTTCTTATATTGAAAAGAAAACAAATATATTTGTAAGTAGTATTTAGATAAAAAAGAAAACTTGATTTAAGTGAAAATGAAATAAGTTGTTTAAAAATGAAATAATATAAATGAATCTACTTAAAGAAATAAAGTGAGTTATTTATTTAAAAAAAACATTAAAATTGTTCTAAAAATATCTTAAAATAAACTGGTATACTAAATAAATTTATTTTATTCAATATAATTTATAAGTTCTTCCTATATATAGTTTTTTTACTTTGTCATGAATATTCTCTAATTCACACACCAAAAACAAATTTTCATCATGTTACTTTCTACATATTTTCAAATAAACTAGTACCAGATTAACACATAGTAATTTGAAAAAGAAAGTGATGGAAATACAAAGATTAAGTAGGGAGATTTTTTTGTTGAGGACGATTCATTAACTAAAAAGAAGGACATAAAAATTAATTTCCTAATCCGTATGTCGCATTGAGGATACAGAGAGATGGCAGAAAAAGTAGGTACACCAAAGTAATGCCCACCTGCCTACCAATACCTAATTAAGAGTTAATTAATCTCTCGTAGTACGCTGTCATACTGTTAGATTAATATGTCAAAATAGTTTTTTAAATTATAATTATCAATTAATTTAATATTTTAGTCGTAAAAGTTATCATTTTAATTTTTTAATATCGATCATTTTGATTTTTATTATTGTAATTTTGAGTACTAAAATGATTGTTGATGAGAAATATTATGAATTAAGATTTAGGATTATTGAGTGAAGTAAGTGGATCTCTCTTTAAAATGAGTAGGTTTATTTAAATTTATTCACTTAATAATTTATATTTTAAAACAAATTTAAATATTAAAATAAAAAATTTAATACATAGATAAATTTATAAATTATTTAATATTTCATTTTATTAATTTAAATTGACAAATAATTATAAAAATAATTTATATATTGATTTAAATTAATGAAATAAAATATAAAATTAACATTATTTAATATTTGTTAAGAATTAAAATAGTTTCCTCACAAAAAAAGATTATTCAATTTTTTACTAAAATAGTAGTATTATTTATACCGTCAAAGAATAAATTATTTTTAAACTTCTTGTATATCCGGATCGGTTTTTTTTTCAATTAAATATATTTTTAATTTATGAACTTTTGTTAATTTTTACGTTAAATCTCTAAATAAATATTTTACTGGTTTTAATTCTTGAATTTTTATCAACTTTTCACTTTCGGTCTTTAAATTTTTTATTTTATTAATATTGTTAATTCTTTAAAATAATTTTTTTTATGAAAAAAATTTAGAGATTAAAATTAAATTCAATTTATTCAAAAATCAAAAGGTGACAATTGAAAAAATATATATAAGTACTCGTCTTTTTTTTACGAGATATCTGGATGATTCTTGATGGAACAGAAAAAAAATGATGAGTTAATCGATTAAAAAATCATAAATGATGTACAATCTTTGGTGTCCATCTATAGATATTGTTGAACGACATTGTTGCATGTAAAGGAAAAAATATCGAAATAATATATCTTTTTTAGATAGGGAGAGAAAAATGATTGTGGTTGGGAAGTGGCTATATATTACCCTTTCTATAGGCCAAGTAGTATTCATTGTTGCGAGCCAAATTAGGTGGACCGTAAGCTTTCTACACGAAGAGACATGTTTATAAGTTTTATCTACCAGAGTAGGGCCTATAGCAGTAACTAATCTCCTCGCTACATTGAAGACACTTCAAAAGATTGAATAATTGATCCCAAAATTTAACACGACTGTATACATAAGGCAGGATTCAAACTCCTGATCTTATTTAAGCGTCAATTCTTACCGCTGAATCACACGTTTG